CCGGTGAGTGCACCGGCCATCCCTATATAGGATCCGAACCCACGGCCTCGGTGCTGCCAGCGCCGCACTCTCCCGAGTGAGCCACAGGGTCGGCCCATGCCTTGGGTTTTTAGTTAGGTAACTGGGTGGAGTGATGGAGTCACTTACTGAGACTTGCCAGAGAACTCTGAAAGAGGAACAGGTTTAGAGGATGAAGGTGATGAATTCAGTCTGGGGTTCGAGGAGAAACGGGAAGAAGCAGGGTACTTGAGCAAAGCCCCAGCACTTGAGAACCTGTTTGGAGGTTCCAGCAGGGGGCGCAATGACTCATGGCTGTGACTAGCTGGGCTCCATATGCTTTTCACCCAAGCACATGGCTTCAAGATAGATGCTTGGGTAGAAAAGAGAAAGAAGACACACACACCCAGTTGATGACTTGATAACCAATGACATGGCCAGACGACCTTCCACACAACACCGAGCCCGGCCACAGAAGGCTTATTTACATTCTTACTCTAACATTCAATGAATATATAACTTTGGGTGGCTCATTCATCCTCTCTGAACGTCAGTTTTCTTGTCTTTTTGTGTAGATTTAGCTACCTCCATTACAAAAATATGACAGTCAAAAGAAATAAAGTCTGTGAAAGCACTTTGTAGAACCCAGAGGTGCTATGTTATGAAAAGTGTGTCTAAGAGGTCGAGATGTAGAGGCCTCTCTTCTCAAAAACGTGAGACCAGGGCTGGAACAGGAGCCCTGCTGAACTTCCCGATACGCAGGAGTCGGTGAAAGAGAGCTACGGTTCATGTCTCCCCCCTGTCTGGTCAATGATTTTCTAAATACCTTCCATGTGCTTAAAAAGTTACAGTCAGAACAGGGCCCTTGAGTCTCGGCTTTGAAAAGCCTAAAAATGTACAGCTGTCTCTGTTTGACTTGGAAAAGCAGTGTTTGTCCATAAGTCCTTCTGGCCAAAATTTTACTCCTCCCTGCCTCTGAAAGGGGGAGAGTACAGCACTGATATTTACCAAACTATTCACCAGACACCATGCTAAGCTAGGTATGTGTTATTTCACTTAAACTACACAGCAACCCTAAAAGGCAGGCATTATAATTTTTCTCAATTTGTAGATGAGGGAACTGAGATTTAGTGAAGTTCTATAACTTGCCTAAGGTTACACCGTTAGTAAATGGTGAAGCCATGATTCGAACCCAGGCCTGCCTTACTTAAAATCTAAATAGTCAACGTTTTTTGATTGATTACCATGTACTAGGCACTTACCTTTTTTGATTCTCCCAGTAACTCTTTATCTCAGTTTTACAAATGAGAAAACAGAGGCTTAGAATTATCAAGTAATTTGGCTAAAATTAAATAGATAATGTGAAAGTAGGCCTCCCATCCAGGCCATTTACTCCAGAGACAAACTGCTTACAGATTATTCTACTCCGTTGTGCCATATTGTCTTCCTGGGAAGAAAGGTTCTATCCCATATTTCATACTGATTATTAAGATAAGCTCTCCACGTGAAACTTATTAATGATAATAGCTTAAAATCAGGCAAACAGCTCATATTACAGTCTTGTTACTTGGAGAAATGACCAAGCAGGGACCGATGGTCGTTCTAAAGCCTGTATTAGATCAATGGACCCTAGGACAGCTGCAAGGGGCCTTCTTCAAGGAACCCAACCAAAAGTCCCTGTGTGTGCCTCAGTAGAGGAGGAAAACTTTAGCATAGCCTGAAATCCTGGGTGAAGAGGGGAATTTTAGTCTCCCCTGAAGTGCCAGTGACAGGGTTAATTCCATACCCCTCCCAACAAATTCAGAGACGAGGCCACTCTGTATGGGCCCAAACCAGTAACAAGTAGGAGTAAATGGCCCATGGAAGGAGGAGGGATGAGGGATGGTGGCGACATTCAGAAAACACTTCCAAGTCTTCTGAGTGGGGATGACCAGAGGTCATGGCGTGTGTGCGCGTGTGGTGAGCGTGTGGCAGGGACAGTGTGCTCCTGGCCGTGGTGGCAAGTAGGCAGTGAGTGTGTCAGCAAACACACTCTGTATCCCCTGTCCCCACCTGCTGCACCCTGGCCTGTACCTCTTGCAGTTTTTGGTCTTCGTGGGTCATGGACAGCAGCACGGTGCTATTGCGCACCACGGGGATCTCCTGCCAGAGGGAGCCGCGGGGGGCCACTGAGAGGCGCTGCAGGTAGGACTCGGAGGAGACCAGCGCCTTCCGAGGCTGTCGTGGGGAGGCGGGCCCCGGGGCCTCCACCAGGCCTTCCAGCCGCTGCTGGCTCTGAATCTCCTTGTTTAGAACCACATCACTGTACTCCTGGTACAGCAGCTGGGCTGCAGGGGTAAAGACACGTGGGAGAGGGAGAGAGTTGGGGAGAAAGGGATGGTGAGTGGAGCCCCAGAATCACCAGTTCTCTGTCACTCTTGGCAATTCTCTGCTGCTGTCAATTCTCTCTCCCTGTGATGTCCCCCCCGCCCCCACATACACACACTGCTGACAGCCACAAGCCCTTCTCCAGTCTTGTGCAGAAAGCCCACCTGGGTGGACGGTTCTGTTTCCAGGTACTCACAGGAGTTGATGAGCTTGGAGCAGCGTCTTGAAAAGCCTCCCCTTGCCTCTTTTGGTTTTTTCTCACTGTGGAATAAAGAAGCGCTCTGGAGTTCTTGCTGGCCATCAGATATGAAGGACTCTCGGGGGACTGTGGAGAGAAAGTCTAGCCTCTGGGACATGTGTTAGGATGTCAGGACTAACTCCCCTAGAGAGAAACAGAGTTGTGGCCTGACCCCTTTGGGGTAGTTCAGAACTTTGTCGAATGTCATGTGGAACTTTTACATGGAGTTTAGTTCACGGCCAAAAGGATTAGGCGGACAGATGACTCAGATTCAGCTGACAGAACTAGGTAGGTACAAGAAGTCTTCCCATCCTGAAATCCTGGTGTCTCTCTCCCATCCCAACCCCTGAAGAGACAAGCATGAGACATTCAGGGTCCCAGAACCCTTATCGACTAAAATCCCATTCAGGAAATCTCAGCATCCTAAGTGTCTGTTAGGAGACAGGGTGACTCACCGAAAAACAATCGTGTCTGAGGGGCCAAGGGATATTTCCATGGCTGGACCTCTTGCATCTGAAAATGGAAAGTGGTGACATGACTGAGATTTTGGAGGGACATTAGAGAGAGTAGAAGAAGTAAGACCTAGAGTGGGAGATGTAGGTATCCAGGGTAAAAAAAAGGGGGCTGTACTGGGAATCTGGGGAGTAAGAAAGCAGCGAAGCAGAGNGTGCTCCTGGCCGTGGTGGCAAGTAGGCAGTGAGTGTGTCAGCAAACACACTCTGTATCCCCTGTCCCCACCTGCTGCACCCTGGCCTGTACCTCTTGCAGTTTTTGGTCTTCGTGGGTCATGGACAGCAGCACGGTGCTATTGCGCACCACGGGGATCTCCTGCCAGAGGGAGCCGCGGGGGGCCACTGAGAGGCGCTGCAGGTAGGACTCGGAGGAGACCAGCGCCTTCCGAGGCTGTCGTGGGGAGGCGGGCCCCGGGGCCTCCACCAGGCCTTCCAGCCGCTGCTGGCTCTGAATCTCCTTGTTTAGAACCACATCACTGTACTCCTGGTACAGCAGCTGGGCTGCAGGGGTAAAGACACGTGGGAGAGGGAGAGAGTTGGGGAGAAAGGGATGGTGAGTGGAGCCCCAGAATCACCAGTTCTCTGTCACTCTTGGCAATTCTCTGCTGCTGTCAATTCTCTCTCCCTGTGATGTCCCCCCCGCCCCCACATACACACACTGCTGACAGCCACAAGCCCTTCTCCAGTCTTGTGCAGAAAGCCCACCTGGGTGGACGGTTCTGTTTCCAGGTACTCACAGGAGTTGATGAGCTTGGAGCAGCGTCTTGAAAAGCCTCCCCTTGCCTCTTTTGGTTTTTTCTCACTGTGGAATAAAGAAGCGCTCTGGGGTTCTTGCTGGCCATCAGATATGAAGGACTCTCGGGGGACTGTGGAGAGAAAGTCTAGCCTCTGGGACATGTGTTAGGATGTCAGGACTAACTCCCCTAGAGAGAAACAGAGTTGTGGCCTGACCCCTTTGGGGTAGTTCAGAACTTTGTCGAATGTCATGTGGAACTTTTACATGGAGTTTAGTTCACGGCCAAAAGGATTAGGCGGACAGATGACTCAGATTCAGCTGACAGAACTAGGTAGGTACAAGAAGTCTTCCCATCCTGAAATCCTGGTGTCTCTCTCCCATCCCAACCCCTGAAGAGACAAGCATGAGACATTCAGGGTCCCAGAACCCTTATCGACTAAAATCCCATTCAGGAAATCTCAGCATCCTAAGTGTCTGTTAGGAGACAGGGTGACTCACCGAAAAACAATCGTGTCTGAGGGGCCAAGGGATATTTCCATGGCTGGACCTCTTGCATCTGAAAATGGAAAGTGGTGACATGACTGAGATTTTGGAGGGACATGAGAGAGAGTAGAAGAAGTAAGACCTAGAGTGGGACATGTAGGTATCCAGGGTAAAAAAAAGGGGGCTGTACTGGGAATCTGGGGAGTAAGAAAGCAGCGAAGCAGACGGCTGGACCTCTTGCATCTGAAAATGGAAAGTGGTGACATGACTGAGATTTTGGAGGGACATTAGAGAGAGTAGAAGAAGTAAGACCTAGAGTGGGAGATGTAGGTATCCAGGGTAAAAAAAAGGGGGCTGTACTGGGAATCTGGGGAGTAAGAAAGCAGCGAAGCAGAGAGCAGTGCAGGAGGCCAGTACCGGCTCTGTCCCCAGCTGTCAGGTCCGAACAGGAACCTGACAATAGAGGTTGCCTTTTCCACTACCCAGTAGGAGATCAAGCAGGTGTTGGCAACTGAAAAGTAGAAGGGAAGTCCATAACAACCTCGGGAGAAAGAGGTGACACTGAAAGAAGACCCTGGTTGGGTGAGAGACAGGGTGACAGAGGAGAGGGGAAGGAGGATCTCAGTGAGCTCAGGGTGCATGAAGACTTCTCTGTGTCAAGGTTAGGCACGTGTGTGAGTGAAGTCAGCAGAGGGAACGGCAGGGACCCTGGAACAGAAGATGAGATGAGGTGGTAGGAGCTGGGAAAAGCTCGGCCTGACATCAGTGTCCCTATGGTCCTTGCCCCTCGCTCACCTGAAGAGCCCTCAGGCAAGATGGAAGGTCTGCGCAGGCCTTGCCGGTGCCAGCCCTTGTGCTTGCTGGGCGCTTCACCGGGGGCCACAATCTGCCCACGGCTGCCCTCTGGCGACCTCCCTGGGTCCCGCCTATGCGGCCAGCTGGATGCCTTCTCCAGATGGGCATGGCTGGGCTTTTCTGGCTGTGTTGCTCGGCTTGGAGCTGACTTCCGTGGGCCATTGGCCCCTTCCTGAGGGGCTGTTCTTCTCCCAGGTCCTCTTGCAGGGACCTCAGACTCTTCCAAGAGCCCTGACTCATCCTTAGGGGTGGGTCGCTGGAGCTCCAGAGGCAAGGTAGAGGAAGAGGGACTTAAAAAGTTTGTCATGTTGCTGAAGGCCATGCCAGGGGACACTTCAGTCTTATTCCTACTGGTGGAATCCAAAGACTCTGCTAATCTGCCTATGGCTGGGGGCCAGGATGTACGTCCAGCAAAGGGGGCAGCGGAGACTGTCCAGTCTTGACAAACAGGTCTTGGTGTGGCTTGGCCCCCTGCATTCCTAAGTCTTTCCTGAGTGCTCCTGCTCCTCCCCCTGGATTTTGGAGGTAACGGGGGTGGTTCAGTGGGAGGATCCATGAGGGGAATGGGGGGTAGAGGCCTGTAGAGCCTTGAGATACTGGGGGAATGATGGGGCTGGGGCAAATCAGGAGTTGGGGGTAACGGCTTGTTGTATCGCATCTTGTGGGAGAAAGAGGTCTGGGTATGGCGGGGGCTGTCTGGGGTAGATGGCAAAGGTCGGTGCTGCCTTGCCACAAGGGGATCAGGAACTTGGGGAAGTGGGCCTTTAGGGGGGCCACGCACCACTGAATCTAGGGCCAATGGAGGATGGCCATACCGCTTCAGGGTAGGGACCCCTGCATGAAGATGGCCATCTCTCTCCAGCGTGGAGGGGTGGGCATGCCTCTTCTCCAGGGGAGGAGGGGGCAGAGGTTCGTGTATCCTCATATCCATGGAGACAAGGGATGGAGAAGAACCACAGGCAGGAGACTCGGCTGCAGAGGCTGCATTGTGTGGGGAGCCCCACGGCTGGCTGCAGCGAGGGCTACTGGGCCTCTCTGGATTTGAGGTGAATTCTTGAGAGTCCTGCCTCAGACTGGACAACACAGGAGGGGATTCTGAAACGATGCTGCAGTCCCTTCCACTTCTCCTGTCCCTTCTTGGGATCATGGAGCCATAGATGGCAGGTTTCGGGGGCCTCTGGGGCAACTCTGAGTGAGACAAAGACAGTGACATTCCCACCAGGTCTGGAGTCTGCTCTGTCCTGTGGGAGCCTGGGAAGGAGTTGCTCCTTAGGTGTGGGCCAGCTCCCATGCAGTTGGCTAGGGGGCTAGGAGGGCGGGCCCTATCAGCACCAGCACGTGGGTCCATGGGGGCTTCCGCAGGGGGGAAGCCATGGAGAGCAGCTGGGAGAGTCTCAGGAGGCCCAAAGGGAGATGAGTTGTCAGTTGAGAGAGAGGCTCTGAAGGTTTCTGGAGAAGATGCAGCAAGAGGGGACTCCCTCCTGGGCAAGGCAGTTGGGGGGCTGGCAGATGATGAAGCAGCTGTGATGGGGGAGACTTCAGCAGGACTGGAAGGAGCTGAATCTGGTGTCCTCGGAGGAGTCCTAGATGTACAGGCAGAGGCCACTTCAGTCCCCTGGCTGGACATTGTCCTTTTCCTCAGCTCAGGTCCCTCTTGCTGGCTGTCTTGAGCTGTTTCATTGTTAGGTGACTCCTCAGGGAAGAAGGAGCCAGGTAGAGAAATGGGCTGGTCAGCCCATCCAACTGGCTCCAGTGTAGGAGTCAGAGCTATGGGGGACAGTTCCTCAGCCCTGGGCTCTGTCTGAGTCCCAGGAATCTGCATCATGGGATATGAGGCATCTGGAAACGAGTCACAGAGAGAAGAGACTGCAGGGGCTACCAGAGCGGGTGTCGAAAGCCCATCATGTTCTGCCTCTTCTTCCGTACTCCTCTCCTCTCCAGTGCTCCCCAGCCAGCTCCCATCCCAATTCCCTGGCTCCTCCTCACTTGATCCTGCCTCCTCCTCCTGCCACTCGACTGCCATCACTTTCCCCTTTAGACCCAGATCTTCTTGTTTCCCAGCTGGTTCCTCTGATTTCCCCATTAAGCTTTTATTCTGCACATACTGAGAGCCTACCCTACTTTCTTCTGGACTCCTCAATGCCCTGTCCCTCTGTTCCCCCCATTCTGGATCTCCCTGACCCTCAGTCCTCCTCTCCCTGTCATCTGGACCCCACTCACTATAGTCCAGACCCTCCAATTCCCCACTGAGTCTCTCCCTTTCTCCTTGTGTTCCCAGCATCACAACCTCTTGTACCTGTCCCTGGGTTGGACTTTGTCCTCCCTCTTTACCATTGACCTGCTCTACCATCTGTTCCTGCTGCCCCCAAAGCCCATCAGAACACACACTGTCCCCCAGAGCTCCTTCCCCCTGAAATTCCACTTCCTGCTGTCTCTGCTCCTCCAGCCCCTGGAGCTCCTGGGGATGCAAGAGCCCTTCTCGCCCTTGACTTTCCTGTGCCTCCTCCGACTGCAGTTCTTCCTCCTGCCTGACACTTCCGCCTTCAGAGCCCTCAGTCTGGTTGGTCTCTGCATGGTGCTCTTCACAGGGAGGCCAAAATCTGGTCTGATCAGAGGTTTCTGGAGAGGTTTCCTCCTTCTCTTCTGCTTGTCCAGAGCCCAATGTCAAAGAAGTGAGATCCGGCCAAAATTCCACCTCCATCTGGCTGCCCAGTTCACTGGATATTGGGACCACATCTAGATGTTCACCCTGGATGGGGCAGGCCCAGAGCTCTGGGGGCGCTGGTGTCCTTGCTTGTCTGTCTACCAGGCTCTGGGGCACTACCTCCTGGCCATCTTCAGTGTTACCAGCCTCAGCCACAAGGTTTTCCTGATGGTTCTCCACATCTGCAGAACATTCCTTGGGGTAAGAGGGCATACTCTGAGCTGCATAGTCACTCACATCCTTTAACTTTCCATGCTGGGTCACTAAGGGTCTGTGTTCTTCTGTCCACTTATAGGACGGGTCCTGGTCTTCTTGAGCTGTGGGCTCCAAGGCAGGGATCTGGCTGCTCCTCATGAGAGCCTCAGGCATAACACTGAAATCCGCCATGGCAGCGAGGGGAGTAGAGGCTCCATGTTGGGGCTCCCCAGCCTCCATCAGGGCTGAATCCTAAGGAAGAATAAAAGACAAAGGTTTCTAATACCTCTTCTGCTTTTACCCATCAGAGGGAGAGACCATAGGGAAAAAGAGCAACACATTCCTTTGGTGCCATTTAGGGTCATCCTTTGAGAAAAAATGGTACTCAACCAAAGAAGCAATAGCCTCTATAAAACTTATCATTTATTTATTCATTTAATATTCACCTAGGGACCCTTTTAAGTGTGGGACATTCAGTAGCAAATGAGACAAAAACCGTGCCCTCATGGAGCTTGCAATCTTGTAGGGGGAACAGATAATAAATAATTTGTTTGCAGTATAAGGACATTGTCAAAAAGTGCCAAGTGCTCCCCCAGTGGTCATTACCCTCTAGATTGGAGTATGTCATATTCTGTCTCTGGACACCAAGAGTGACTCAGCCTCATATAACTCCCAGACACCGCGTGTGACACACCCTGGATCTAATAGCCCAGAGAAGTAGTGTCAGGAGGGGGATCTTCCTTCTAAACTGCTGACATGGATTAAAAAAATAGGTCAGGCTATTATAGCAAATGCGCAGGGTACTATAATTTCAACTCTTTATACAGAGTCTGGATTTTACTCATCTTTTTATTTTTCATAGTGTCTAGTGGAGCCTTGTAACTCATGAACAATTTTGTTTTCAATTACAGAGGCAGCTGTTGTAAAGTGGAATGATACCTAGACTTCTTAGATTAGGACGGCACTAGATACAATAGTGACTTCAACCAGACCCATGAAACTGGGTTAATTTCATTATCTTACTCTTCCCTTCTCTCCAAAACCACATAAGCTCTTCTGATAACTTTCCAAAAGGGTGACCATCCTGCCTCTCTTCTCCTTTAAAGCAGAACACCTCAGCTCCTACTTTGCAAAGAATTTAGAAACCAGCGGAGAGAAACTGATTCACTTTCTTGCGACCCAGAGTGTCCCGCATTCCCACACCCTCCACCCTCCTCCTCGGCCAGTGCAAGAGGTTTGCCTCCTGGCCAAGCCCCGTCTTTCTTAGCCTGCCTGCTCGCCGACCTTATGCTGTGAATTGTCTCTTTCTCTCACGCCTTCACCTTCTCTGCTGGAACCACCCCACCAATATTTAAGTATTCCCACATCCTTCTCGCCTTTCAAACATCTAGAAGGGATCATTCCCATCTGCTGTCTTCATGTCCTCATGTCCTGCCTGCCTCCAGTCCCCCTTCGATAAACACCATTTTGCCACCACTCCCTATGATGTTCATGTTAATGCCAAAGAAGGCTCTGTGGACCTTTATTCTGGGTAGTTCTTGTCGGAGTTTAACACTTGACATTAGGAATACACCCCACCAATATTTAAGTATTCCCACATCCTTCTCGCCTTTCAAACATCTAGAAGGGATCGTTCCCATCTGCTGTCTTCATGTCCTCATGTCCTGCCTGCCTCCAGTCCCCCTTCGATAAACACCATTTTGCCACCACTCCCTGTGATGTTCATGTTAATGCCAAAGAAGGCTCTGTGGACCTTTATTCTGGGTAGTTCTTGTCGGAGTTTAACACTTGACATTAGGAATACTCTCTTTTCTTGTTATTTGTGTTATTACATTTTCGTGGTTTTACCCCTTAAATGTTCCCCAATCCTCTAACCAGGCTAAACTGTACTTCTCTTTGTAGCACTTATCAATTATTATTCACTTTATTTCTCCTTTGTAACATGTATACGGTTATAATTATATAATTGTGTGCACTTTGATTTATCCTCTATCTCAAGCAATAGATGGTGACCTTTAAGAAAGTGAGAACTATACCAGTAACGGTCTTGCTCAGCTGTCTATACCTAGCACAGTATCTGGCCTATACTAAGTGCTTACTAAATATTTTTCACATAAAGAATAAAATCCTTGTTTCCCTCCTGGCCAGAGACAGATGCCTCACATCTAATCAATCACAAAGTCCTATGGACGCCACCTCCTAAGCAACCCTCGAGGCTATCTCCTTCTTGCCATCTGTATGGCTAGAACCTGGTACATGCTGCTGGACTCTTGCCCGGGCCACTGCACCTGGGGCACAGCCTGGCTTCTGGCCTCCCCACATCTTGTTCTACTCTAATTCATTTGCCACATAACACCTGAGTTATCTTCAAAAGCACCCCTTCTAGTGCAAATCTTTCAGCAGCCTGTGAATGCCTTTAAGATGGAACCCCAATATTCTGCATAAGCTATAGACCCTGCACAACCTGGCCTCTGCATCTTCTCCAGCAGCCTCAACATCTGGTGGCACCTGCCCCACCGCACCAGCTTTTAGGTTCTTGAGCTCACTGCCCTCTCTCTCACTGTAGGTCTCCACGGGTGCTGCCCCTCTGCCTGGAATCCCCTTCCCCTGCTCCAGAGAATCCTTTGCTTCTCCTTGAACACCCCTTGCCCTTGTAATGACATAACTAATGTGTATTTTGCAGGCTAGACCATGAGCTCTGTAGGGCACAGATGCTGCCATACTAAGTGCTCAATCCCCTCTGCCTGAAGCTTAGGTATCCCTCAACAAAGATGCATTGAACAAATGAATGAAGGAAGCATATGAGTATATCAAAAAGAGTGTGGAAAAATAGAATTGAAAGACAATACAAATCTCTCCATGAACTTTTGGAAGACCCCACATACAAAGTTAAAAGAATGTGGTTCAATTTTTAGTTCTGCCTTTTTTGTATCTTTGCTAGTTCATAGAAATTAATTTATTTGAACATCCATCTTATCTTTAAAAGGGGATAAATGCTTCTTGCGAAGTTCTAATAAAGATTAAATAAGTGCATTGTTATCTTTAAGGGTCATAGAAATAGTAGGTATTGTGATTATTGCTGACCTGAAAGAATAAGAGTAAGAAAGAAATAAAGAATTATAAGCTGGAAAGAACTTTAGAAACACACAGAAAACTTTGCTCAATTTACAGATGAGAAAACTAAAGGTCAAAGACCCTAGGCACTTGCTCAGATTTCCTATGTAAACAGTATGGGTGAACCTGAACCAAGGTCTCTTGACTTAAGTCTTTTGTAGGCACTCAGGTGTCCAGCTGTAAGAAAGCTGGCAGGTCACTAGTCCAGAGAAAACCCCATGCTGCACCTGGCCTTGCACCTTTATTTTCTGGTTCAGGCTTACAGTGTAAGCCCACCAGTTCAGAATGCCTACTGTCCTGCTGAGCCACTGCACAAGTATACACACGCATGCACTCATGCACACACACGCAGTGAGCCACCCTTGGAGTCTCTCTGCAATAGAGCCTGACATAACCAAACAGGCAGGTCCCCAGACATCTTGCAGATATAGTATGTGACAAGATCCTGGCCACCCTATGAACACAGATACCATCTATATGGGTCAAAGAGGTATCTCTTTGGGTATAAATGTACCCATGTAGAAGGACGTTTATGTCCTTTTCCAGTTAATTGACACAGTGTGTGATTTGCTCCCTACACCTAGCTCTCAAGTGCAAAATATTATAATCAGTATGGGTGATCCTATTCTCTCAATCACACATTAAATAATACACTTCCTCACCAGATACCATCTATATGGGTCAAAGAGGTATCTCTTTGGGTATAAATGTACCCATGTAGAAGGATGTTTATGTCCTTTTCCAGTTGATTGACACAGTGTGTGATTTGCTCCCTACACCTAGCTCTCAAGTGCAAAATACTATAATCAGTATGGGTGATCCTATTCTCTCAATCACACATTAAATAATACACTTCCTCACCATAGACTTTCTGAAACTTGGCTCTTACCTACCTAAGGGGACCACGTGAGTAAATCCATGGTCTCTCTCACCCACATCTGAATTGTTCAGGTTCTATCTCCCACACACACCATCTTGTCCTCAAAACAAGTAGCTCCTAAATGTGTGTGTTTCTGCCATATTCAGGCTATACCAATATATATCATGTGCTACCTGGACATTTTCAGTTCTAGTCTAGTGACACGATGTATGTCTGTCTCCTGCAACCTCAAGGACACTATTTCTTACAATGTTTTTATACATTTGGAAATATTGGTGGTCATATGCTCAGCCACCATTTACCCCAAAGGGAGAACGTGTTCCCTATACTTGATCCTGCCTTAGTAACCCTATTGCAATAAGGTATGACAAAGTTAGAATGTGACAAAGCTAAAGGGAATTTGTAAAACATGGTTTTACTCATGTAAAGGCATCAGGAGAGAGTTTTTGCACTGCCCATTATGTTAGATTGCAAACGCCCTCATCTTCTCCACTGGGGGTGAATAATCACCATTTATCTGAGCACAGGAAAACCCAGGGCATGGCATCATGGTGATCTGGCCTTCCTCCAGACCAGAGACATTTTGCATCTGCGTGACCCTGTCCACGTGTGACTTCTTACGAGACAGCTTCAAGTCACTTCACTAACACAGTGACAGAGCTTGCTATCTCCCTGAGAGCCTCCCAACACTTTAGCTCTCGTCCATTTCTAGTCACTAGACATAAAATTGTATTTCAAAGATACCCCCCCATCACACTGCTTATTCTTGGAACTGATATGGAGTGCCATTTACATATTTGAAGATCATGCTCTCTGGATTTTCCAGGGGTGTAAATTTCAAATACTCTGACTTACAACACAAATCAGTGAAATACTTTGGAGATTACAATATTTCTGCATTTATATCTTCTATACTGTTACTCATATTATGAAAACGCCTTCCCCCCAATCAAAAGATATGTTCTCATTTTGATTTCAAAAATAAGATAACCACATACATGTGTACCTTCATTCACTGTTTGCCCCTGCTGCCCCCAATACTACAAAGATATCAAAATATGGGTAGTTTGTGGAAAAATAAAATTAAAAGAAAACACAAATCTTTCCATGAGCTTTTTGAAGTGCCCTCATATAAGAACACTATTACTGGCAATGCTGACTTACACCCCACAAGTCCATCTGTGGCCCTGGTGCTGTCCACACAGATAATGTGAGTGTGAGTGATCCATTTGTGTCCTTAACATCG